TTGGTTCTTGTACGTAGTTGGAGGTGAGATTTGAGAGTTGGATTATTATTTTCTCAAAAGAAAAAGAGGTCTGCCGGTGTATCTCGATGTGGTTAAATGTCATTTTTGCCCCTTTGATCATTTCTACCCTATCACATTATTAAGCAAATTATTTGAATTCAAAAATGTTATTTGACTTAATTATTGAAAGATTGATGAAATAGTAAGTATTTAAATTGTTGTAAATAAAGAATCTCAATAATAAATTATTTCGTAATGCTATTTGTGTATACTCATGATTATCATAAGCATATGTGACGGTCCATGTGACTGCATAGTTCACTAAAACATTCAATTCGCGCCTTTTAACTGCATAAACAAAGTTAAATGACCCCAATTAATTTTAATTTTTTTTAGATAACATCATGAGGAATGTTGTAAAATAAGTATTACTAATAATTCTATCGCATTTTAATTACATTAAGAGCCTGTCTGGCCCAGATTATTGCAGCCAAATAATTGATTTTCTTCTCGTTGCAGTATACAAAATTTGACCATATCTCTATGCAGTGGAACCTACAGATCTCCTCTAACGTTTTAAAAAGTGATTTTCCTACCCAATTTCTGTGCGCCCAAACAGCCTCTAAAGATTTTTTTTTTATTTTTACTATTATCATACTTATGTTTCCGTCCTTTTCCTTCGCCTCGGATTTATTCTTAATCTTTCCTTAATTATTACATCTTGTCGTTGATTATGATTTTGGTTTAAAAATTCTATTAAACGGGCATAAAAATGACTTATTTGTCTATTGTATTTTTAAATAAGCAAAAAATTAATAAAATACAGAAGTACGACTATTTTTTTTCAATTATTTTAAAGCAAGCTAATAGAATTTCTCTACAAGAATCGTCATAAAAAAAACACCATGTGCGAATTTATGAAAAGTTAAGAATAAAAATGTGATTTAAAAAATTGGAGATTCAAGTGTAAATAAGAAGTCAAATACGAACCTTTAATAAAACTAAAATGTGATGCCTTTATTAAAAAATGTAATGCAAATATAGTTTATCGAATCTTAATTTTACTATAATCAATAATACCCTTAAATTTTGTTTGTCTCAAATACTTTGTTTTGTTCTTTTAGTTTTATAATAATATTGAATTTAAAAGCTCCAGTTTTTAAGAGAACTACCAGAATACACACAGGGAAATTTTGCCATTGGATTCGA